ACTGCAGCTCCTGCCCCCGCAGCTCCTGCCCCCGCAGCTCCTGCCCAGGCCTCTGCTGCAGCTGCCCCTCCACCACTCTGACCGCTTCCTTTCCATGTAAACACCCCCCGTCTCCAGGCTGAGCTGGTATCCATCACTCATCCACGTAACACATGGGCATAGCATGCTTTATCCTCTGCTCTATTTCCTGTCTGTTTACTTACTGTCTTCTTCCTTTTCCATGATTCCCACCCACATTGTCATGTTCTCTGCTAAGTCCCCGGGCCTCAAGTATTAGTTGGTGCATCAGGGACTCTCATTAGGAGATATTTATACAAAAACATGTCCAACACCTGCCAGGGGTGGTATTAGCTAAAGGTGTTTGTACCTGGAGGCCTGCATGGTCGCAGCCTGTCTGGTTGGGGTGTTATCTGCCTCATAAAGCAACAGAGGATGGGAAACGCCCCTGGCAGGGCCTCCAGCTGCGTTAGAGGAAGAGAGCACCTTGGAGATGCCAGAACGTGCAGACACGTCTCTGTCCCCAGCTGGCTTCCCGAGAGCCAGGGGCGGCGTGCTTAGTAAGACACCATCCTGCAGGTGAAGCAGTTACCTGTGGGCTGTGTTGCCTTCCTGCACGGCGTCTCCTTCTGTTCCGGCGTCTCCGTCTGATGCGCTGTTTGGGGAAGGCTGTGTGTGTTTAAATTGTTAACATACAGCTTTTGTTTCTCCAGTGGTTAGATCTCCCCCAGGCCCCAGGTGGCTTCCTCGCAGCATCCTGCACGGGGTCCTGCTCACTAGTCACTGACACGCAGATTCTGTTCTTGTCGTTTGCCAAAGCCCAGCGCCTGCACGCAGAGAGCAGCGTTCCCACAGTATCTCACTGGCTCCTCTCTCCACTGCCCTCTCCTTGGCCCCTCAGCTGGGGCCATCGCCCTGAGTTCTGGGGGCAGCTGGTGGCTGTGGGGATGGATGGGGTCCTGGCCCCCAGAGATGGGAGTTAGGGGACCTGTATGGGGAAAGGATGCTGTTGCCCAGGTGCCCCATGGGTTCACGCGGCTCTTCTAGGGAGGCGGCAGGAGGACCAGTGTCAGGAGAGAGTGTACAGATGGGGCACAGGCTGGGGCGATGCCCCCGCAGGAGGGAGGGCCACACATCACGTCAAGGGTGCCTGTCATCGGCCTGTGGAAGCTGGGGAAGGGGAGGGAGCGGATCTCACCTCCTGAGCCGGGAGAGCTGCTAGTGCTGTTTAAGCCCCGGGTCGGGGCCCCTCAGCAGCCGAGGGAGTGACTGGACGGCAGGAGAGCCTGCAGGGCACAGCGCTTGAGGTTGTGACTGGACGGGCAGGAGAGGCGGCCGGGCACAGGGGGTGGGGGAGGGGGCGGCGAGGTTGAGGGAGTGACTGGACGTGCAGGGCACAGAGGTTGAGGGAGTGACTGGACGGGCAGGAGAGCTGCAGGGCACAGAGGTTGAGGGAGTGACTGGACCTGCAGGGCACAGAGGTTGAGGGAGTGACTGGACGGGCAGGAGAGCTGCAGGGCACAGAGCTTGAGGGAGTGACTGGACGGGCAGGAGAGCCTGCAGGGCACAGCGCTTGAGGTTGTGACTGGACGGGCAGGAGAGCCTGCAGGGCACAGAGGTTGAGGGAGTGACTGGACAGGCAGGAGAGCTGCAGGGCACAGAGGTTGAGGGAGTGACTGGACGGGCAGGAGAGCTGCAGGGCACAGAGGTTGAGGGAGTGACTGGACCTGCAGGGCACAGAGGTTGAGGGAGTGACTGGACGGGCAGGAGAGCTGCAGGGCACAGAGCTTGAGGGAGTGACTGGACGGGCAGGAGAGCCTGCAGGGCACAGGGCAGGAGAGCCTGCAGGGCACAGCGCTCTCACAGCGTCCTGGCTACTCTGTCAGCAGACATGGTGCCGAAAGGAGGCCCTGAGGAGCTGGCCGCTCAGGGGCATCGGGGAGGAAAGGGGGTGGGGGTGGAAGTGGAGCCAGGCCTGTGCTGCAGTCACATGGCCATCCTTGCTTTTCACAGATCAGAAGCCCCTGCACCTGGCCCAGGGCGCGGAAAATAACGAGACGCGTTTCCCACAGGCCCTGTACCGAGCGCTGAGGCGGTTTGAAGGCCCCCTCTGGAAGGTGGGTGGGCACTTTCACCGTAACCTGGGAGGGAGGCTCGGGGTCTGTGTTCATGAAACGTTTCCCGGTCATTTCTGAGGTGGTCGTCCCGCCTCTCACGCAGCCCTGTGTCCTGCTGGCGGCACTCGGCGACGCATGGCGGCTGCTGCCCTGTGTCCGTGGTCTCGCCCTGTCCGGTGGCCACGTGTCGGAGCGGGGATGGGGGGGAGCAGTCTTTCTTATGTGATCAGACTCACAGAATCACTGTTTGTTATGAACCATGAGCCACGAGGACGTGGGAAGAAGTTAAGCTCCGCATTGTCAGAGCACCTTCGAGGTCTTTCTGGGGCCAGACGTTCCTGCGCGTCTGAGCTCCGTGGTTTGGGGACGGAGCTGGGTGAGGGCTGTGGTGTGCTCGGTCGCCCGCACTGCCTCCGTGTTTGCGTGCGTGTGTGCTCCCGTGTGACACACATTCGGGATGATTCTGTCTAGAAGTTCAGGACGTTGAGGAAGGGCCTTGCTAGCCCACCGCTGGTAATTCGTGTAAATGTCCCAGGACAGTCCTGTGGGAACAGAGCTGTGGGCGTGGATCCGTGGGTGTGGGTGTCTCCCCTCTGTTGCCCTGAGGGGTGCGCCCAGGTGGGAGTGTGTTGGGGTGCTCACTGCACGCCTCGCTCACAGACGGGGACCCAGCCAGTGTTTGCGCTGCGGGGTCAGCGGGTCCCTTTGCTCTCCCTTAGAGCTCGCGGTTTTTCGGCTGGAGGCTGTTCTGGGTGGTGCTGGAGCACGGCGTCCTGTCCTGGTATCGGAAGCAGTGAGTGTCCGGTTGTTACTCTTGTTAAATTGTCGCATGCCCGTTTGGGAAGGTTGAACCTTTTCACTTATCTCTTCTCCTTTTACCGTGAAAATTTAATGTTTATTTTGAAGGCCTGACGCCGCCCGTAAGATTTACCGCCAGGGGTGCAAACACCTCACGCAAGCCGTGTGCACGGTAGGACGACACACATCTTTGCTCACACGTGGAGCCGGTTCTGCAAGCGATGGCCCGGCCTCGTGTATAAGCTGCCCCGGCAGATCCAGGGTGGACGTGCTGGGGCCAAGGAGGGGGAGTCTCCAGTCTAAACGGACCAGCTTTGGTTGATCCTCATATTGCGGGACGAGAGATGAGTGATCCGGGAACATGTGTAAGGAACACATGTGCATGGAGCGGGCGGGGCAGAGATGGTTATAGTTCAGTGGGAAACAAGCCAGTGAGTGAGTAAGATTTAAGAACGAGCTGTTGGGGTACTCACAACTGTAGGCCTACTTCTGCCCATGCTGTGTGTGTGTGGTCACGTGTGCATGCATGTGCACGTGTGTGCACGGGTAAAGGAGCTGTGTGTGGTCATGTGTGCATGCACGTGCACGTGTGTGCATGGGTAAGGAGCTGTGTGTGGTCACGTGTGCACGTGTGCGTGTGGGTAAAGGAGCTGTGTGATCACGTGTGCATGCGTGTGCATATGTGTGTGCGTGGGTAAAGGAGCTGTCTGTGTGGTCACGTGTGCATGCGTGTGCACGTGTGTTTGTGCACGGGTAAGGAGCTGTGTGTGGTCACGTGTGCATGCATGTGCACGTGTTTGTGTGTGGTAAAGGAGCTGTGTGGGGTCACGTGTGCATATGTGTGCACGCGTGTGCATGGGTAAAGGAGCTGTGTGGTCACTTGTGCATGCGTGTGCACGTGTGTTTGTGCTCTCTGGTCACGTGTGCATGTGTGTGCACATGTGTTTGTGCTCTGTGTGTGGTCACATGTGCATGCGTGTGCATGTGTGTTTGTGTGTGGGTAAGGAGGACAGTGGGACGGGCGGTTTCCTGGTGCTGATAAGCCCGTGTCAGAGCAGGAAGCTCGGGCTCTGAGCTCAGGAGACAGCAGCTTCTCCTCCGGGAGGCCGTCTGAGCCTGAGCCTGGGCGCAGTCCCTGGGGTCCCCACCAGGTGTCCTCAGGTGTCAGCTGCCGCAGGGCTGCCACTCACCATCAGCACTTCTCTCCCTCTCTCTCTCTTTCTTATTTTTTAAATATATTTTTATTGATTTCTGAGAGGAAGGGAGAGGGAGAGAGAGAGAGAAACTTCAGTGATGAGAGAATCATTGATCGGGTACCTCCTGCACACCCCCCACTGGGATCGAGCCCAAAACCTGGGCACGTGCCCTGCTGTGAGTTGAACCCTGACCTCCTGGGTCATAGGTCGCGGGTTGCTGTGGGGCTTCTGTTACATGCGCATGTGGTGGTGTCTCACTGCCTTCTTGTCTCCAAGGTCAAGCCCAGTGACAGCTGCCTCTTCTCCGTTAAATGCTTTGACGACACTGTTCACGGCTTCAAGGTCCCTCAGAACAGCCCTCCGCAGGCAAGAGAGGTGATTTGTGGGTTCACGGGTCTCCTGAAACCTACAGGGCGATTAGAGACAAGCATGGGAGCCCCATAGCAACCCCCCAGCCTCGCTGGTCGCACCTTTTCAATGGCGGGGGGGGGTTGATGGCAGCTTCTGGGGTTTGGCTGGCGAGTCGGTGCTCCGCCCGCATGGACCTGCAGGTGTTTCTGTTCGTACGTCTCTCGTTTTGATTCTGTGGAGGCACAGGCCTCCCATGGTTGGGAAACGACCTGAGGGTGTGTAGTTTGCCCCCGACTTTGTAGGTGAGGAAGCTGCAGGCCATGGGGTGTTGCCTCCTCCCTGCTCTCCAAGGTCACGGCCCAAGGGCAGAGCGGACCCGCCCAGCTGCTCTGGTTCACGCCCGTGGGGACTCAGGGCTTCTTTTTGGTAAATTGAACAATAGTAGCAGCAAGAGGTTAGGGTTCAGGTGACAGGAATTCATAGTGCGGTCGCTTCAATGGAGATGCCGTGTTCTTTAAAAAAAAATATATATTTTTTTATTGATGTCAGAGAGTGAGGGAGGGAGAGGGAGAGAGAGAAACATCAGTGATGAGAGAGAATCATCCATCGGCTGCCTCCTGCACGCCCCACACTGGGGATCGAGCCCACGACCCGGGCGTGTGTCCTGGGAATCGAGCCATGACCTCCTGGTTCATAGGTCAGAGTTCAACCACTGAGCCATGCTGCATTCACAGCAGCATTCACAGGCTTCTCTTGTTTCTTGTAAATTGTGTAAGGGGTTGAGAGAATCTATCTTCCAATGTGGTTAATTGTGGCCCCACAAAGAACCCTGAATCATTCAAATTATGACAGTCCCAACATTTCATGAAATGGAAGATTTGACCCTGAGTAATACTATAGTGAGGAATAAGTAAGACGGGTATTTTAGGGCAAATATTTGGTCTTTTTGTAAAGTCACTGATTGTTAAAAAAACATAGTAAACGTTAAAGCATAAAGGTAATTGTTAGTTCTCTGAAAATGACCTGAGTTTCTTTTGCTTATAATTCGATTGCAAGTTAGTAAAATTGTTTTTGGATATGTTATTGTACAATAACTTATTCAACAGTTTTGAGAACCTAGTATTTTAAACGCAAAACTCTACCCCATTACTTAGTTTTTATAATGTCTTTAACTACTAATATCAATGAGTATATAACTTATAGATGATATTTTTAAAAAATACTGGGAACTTTTGGGGGTGCAAGTTATAAATTAGTACATTTTATTTAAATTAATTTACATTTGAAATGAGTAAATTATGTAATATGTAAAATATATCTCAAAGTTGCAGAAATATTGTGAAAAGCAGATTTTATGAATATTTTAAAAAATCATTTTCTTATTTGATAGTTGTTTCTAATTTTTTCCAATTATACACACTTAGCTATTGGTCTGTTCTGCTGACCTCAAAAAAATCAATATTTTATTTATTATTATTGTTATATATTATAAAAAGAGAGAGAGAGAGACAGACAGACAGACAGACATCAGTGATGAGCGAGAACCATGGATCAGCTGCCTCCTGTACACCCCCCACTGGGGACTGAGCCCACAGCCTGGGCTTATGCCCTGACTGGGAATCGAACCGTGACCCCCTGGATCATAGATTGATGCTCACCCACTGAGCCACACTGGCCGGCACATGTCCCTTTAATTTAACTGTTTGGGCTCCTCAGGACTGGCTGCAGGCGATTGAGGAGCACGCGGCCTACAGCACGCACTACTGCTCCCAGGACCAGGTGCCGGACGAGGAGGAGGAGGAGGCAGGCTCTGCTGGGGACCTGCGGGAGTCCTTGGAGGTAAGTATGAAGGCTCACCTGCCTCTATGGCACTCTCATTCAGGTTCACCAGGAACCGAATGTTTGTAATGTGAGTTCTGGCCGTGGACATAGTGTTGCTCTTTGTCCGGTCATAGTGTACGATACTGTGCGTTATGGTGACACTGTCCACCGTGGCTCTGTGCTCTAAGGGTGTGACCACACGCGTCCGGCCTTGTTAACGTGTGCATTGTGCAGATTGTTCTCCACTGGAGGACTGCCACCAGCAGGGGGCGCCTGCCTCACTGCCCTTTGTGACTTCACTGCACTAGCAGAGTTAAACAATGCAGCCACAGCGAGGCCCCGCTGGCCCGAGTCCCAGGAGGACGGAGCCCCTGCGGTCTGTGCTCTGTGGGTCAGGTGAGGGAGCGTCGGCGGAGTGCGAGCCTCCTCGGAAGGGACAGCAATGCCTCATCCCGGCAGAAGCCGCAGCCTGCGTGTCGTCACGGACACGAGGGTATTTTGTTCTTGGCTCTGACTTTTAAGTGAGAATTGGGTTGGAGGAATTATAACTCAGAGAGGAACATGCATTTCAGTCCAAATAATTGTGTCAGAGAATATGTATTTGCCCACTAAATGTAATCTGTTTTATATATGTATTTATTGATTTCAGAGAGGAAGGGGGAGAGAGATAGAAACATCAATGAGAGAGAATCATTGATCGGCTGCCTCCTGCACGCCCCCTACTGGGGATCGAGCCCACAACCAGGGCATGTGCCCTTGACTGGAACCGAACCCGGGACCCTATAGTCTGCAGACTGACACTCTATCCACGGAGCCACACCAGTTAGGGCTGTAATCCTTTTTAAAAATGAAGTGAAAAACTTGCAGGAAATGAGTGTTTCTAAATCACCAGCTTGAATGAGATTGTTTGCTGACCCCTCAGGCGTTCTCTTGACACACTGCGTCGCCTAGAAATCTCTGAGGCACACGCCCAGGACCGCACGTTTTTGGGCAAACCACATTATTTAAATCATCATAATGCACTTGAGGTGTTTTTTTCAATAATTATAACATTTTTATTTACAAAAACAAACAAAGTTCCTAGTACTTCTTTAACGTATGGTACTGCGTAACACATTTTCCTCTATGAAGAGGGACCAAACAAAATTTACATAAGTTTCTAGATCCGCTCCTTTTTCCATGGGCGTGAAAAACGAGAACACTCGTGAGCGGTCCTTAACAGATGGCGCACGAAACACGAGAAAACTCCTGAGCGGTACGAAATGTGTTCAGGGCCTTCCATTTAGGTGAGAAAGAGCTCAGTCTTTGGTCCGGCCTCCTTGTATGACGGACAGGAAGACGTGGAGCTTTCGCGCTGTATTGAGATATTCCCAGGATCTATCAGCCCAGTGTGTGATGTGCCAACCACGTAATTTTCAGGCCAGGGAACTTTGCACGGGTTACATCTACCAGAGCATTGCACCGACATTAAAGCTGTGTGGATAGATAAAGAAGGCTTAAGTATCTATGGCCAAAATCGTGTTAAATAAAAAACGTTGCTACATATTTTAACTGTTGGTCAGTCAGTATTCCCTGTGTGAAAAGAACTCCTCTCCAGTTCATCTATCCTCCGAATTCAGTCGATGATGAAACCTGGGAGGACGCAGCGTGCACCAATATCTTTCCAGGATTATGGAATTTTATGACCTTTTTAGTGGAAGCTATAGGTAAAATCAAAGTCTACTAATTTGCATATTATTTACCAACTTTCTTGAAGAAATGTTTCTTCTTTGGCACAGTTTTCAAATTTTTTGGTTTCTCAGTCTCAACTATGCCTTTCATTTTACTCGTTTGAATATTGTGTTTCTGTGTTAACTTCACAACCATGAAGTGTTTCTTTTCTAGATTTAAAAAATATGTATTTTTATTGATTTCAGAGAGGAAGGGAGAGGAAGCGAGAGAGAGTCATGGATCGGCTGCCTCCTGCACTCTCCCTGTTGGGGACTGAGCCTGCATCCAAGGCGTGTGCCCTGCCCGGGAATTGAACTGTGGCCTCCTGGTTCGCAGGTTGATGCTCAGCCCCCGAGCCACGCCCGCGGCTGCTTTCTAGATTTTTTCTCACCTGAAGTCAGTGAGCCCTTAGCCAGTGACAAGCACTTCCAGGTTTGGGGGCTGTAGCCTCATCTCTGACCACAGGATTTAAATGCTCGTCTGTGAATTCTCACTCTGTTGTGGCTTCTGCAGGTCGGTCCCACGTAGGTGAACTTGGAAATGAGCTTGTGGAGGCCGGCCCCGCAGGCCCTGGGTCTCCAGGTCTTAGGGCGCCAGGGCATGGTGGGGCCAGCTCTGGGCGCCTGCCGGCTTCCCAGAGGAGGTCAGGGACACGGGATGGGACGCTCTCCAACCCCCGATGGCCATCAGGGACCCTCTTCCCTCAGCCCGCTCTGGGCCGGAAAGTGGGCCTACAAGAAAGGGGGGCGTCAGCTGAGGCTGGAACACCTGACTGTGTTATATGGTGGTATTGGTCTCGATTTCCTCCCCTCGACACGAGGGCCTCCGCGGTCTGACCGCTGTCCTCCCAGCTGTCCATCTGTCCTGCCTGAGGCCAGGCCTCAGGGAGAGGGGATGCAACCAGTCCTGGCCATGGCGGCTTCCTGCCATTGGGGAATTGTGCAGAAATGACAACTGGAAGAGAGAGTCGCCCACAGCATTGGCGGAGAGCCGCACAGGGCCCACTAGACATGCAGATAATCAGAACCCGGTCAGCTCAGCCCTTTGGACGGGCCCCGCCAGTGCTCAGGCCGCCTGGGCCGCGCCGCGGGCACGGAGACAAGGCTGCCATCACCGCTGCCCGCCCTTAGGCTCGGGGCGGCGCTCGCCAAGCGGGGCCTCTTTGTTGGACACGCTTGGTTCTGCAGGATCAGGAGTAATGAGCAGATGCTGCTGCCTTTAACCGAATGGGAAAGTGATATCAAACTTCCCTGATTTAGAATAAATGATCCCTAATGAAGTGAATGTGCAGAGAGAGGACTGTCGTCCGCACAGGCTGGAGGTGCAGGGCGGGTGTCCGTGCAGGATTGAGGAGCGGGAGTGGAGCGGGAGGGGAGCTATGAACGCGCTGCCCCCCGGGGAAGAGGAGCAGGGCTGTGCACTCAGGGCCGGAAGACAGGAACGGGCAGCAGCCTTTGCCTGGAGGCTGGGAAAGGGTGGAAACGTCTCGAGGGCTGATGTGTGTGAGGAGGAGCGGCATCTCTCTCTGGCCTGGGTTTGCTTGTGTAAATGTCTGTCCCACAACAACACGTGAGGGTACGGAGCCGCCCCGGCGACCACCAGGCAGCAGCAAGAGCAGGCGTAGGGACGCTGCGATGGCGGGCGGTGGGGGATGGCGTCCTCTTGGCCGTGGCGGACGTAGGGGGACTCGGAGGGGAGTGGGGTGTCCTTAGGGTCTGCGATACATGCTGCTCAGTGTTCAATGTGATGCAGTGACTCTAGGCAGCAAGCTGCACGCATTTGACGTCTTCAGCTGCATGAGTTTGGCACGTCCCCACCTGCCTGACAGCCGCCCTGTGGGGTGTAGCAGCTCCTCTCCCTCAGCCCGAGCCCCTGCCCGCGGCCCCCGTTGCTGCCGGTGGCAAGAGGCGGGCGGTGCTGCGTGTCCCGGGGTGTAAGTCCGCGGAGTCTCTGTCTGCCCTTTGGTGCCGACCTCCTCTCGCGCCCGGTCAATCGTCTGCTGCCTAGACTGCACGTGGCAGGCGGGCTGCTCCCCACAGGTGGGGCGTCCTGGCCTGCTGGGGTCCAACCCCAGCATGTCCAGGGGTCCCCAAAGGTGTGGACGGAGTCGGCGAAGAAGGAAGGCCACGGAGACAGCGTTCAGTTGATCAGCAGCCTTGCCAGGATCTCTAGCCACAATCTCCAGCCAAGTTCTGTGTCCATGTTCTCTTGCTAGGTTCTCCAGCCAGGTTGGGTTGCCAGGTTCTGTAGCCGGGTTCTTCAGCCAGGTTCTGTCTAGGTTCTCCAACCAAGTTCTGTAGCCAGGTTCTGTCCAGGATCTTTTGCCATGTTCTCTCCAGCGAAGTTCTTCTGTCTCTAGGTTCTGTGTAGGTTCTGTCTTCTAAGTTCTGAGTTCTAAGTTCTGTCTTCTAAGTTCTGAGTCCTGTTGTCTTGTTATATCTGTATTTATACCAGTTGATTCCAATCCTATCAATCTCTATTCCAAAGGTTAGGGTGTTTCTTATCTCCATTCCAGGGAGTAAAGATTATGTAGCTTAAGCATGATTGTTCGTAGTTAAAGTGATTAATTACCTGCCTGGCACTTAGTTAAGGGGTTTTATTCCCTCCCTAACTTCAGGGGAAAACCCCTACCTGGGGAAACAACCTTTCTCGGAGAGGTGGCCTTGGTTAAAACACATAGTGCCAAGAAGGTGAGCAAAACATATTAAGAACAGTATGCCATATATGCCAGGTCCCTTGAAACAGCAAGGATGGACTGGCTCCCGGCACTGGCCGAGCCCGGAAGTCATGGCTCCTCCCTCCCACTCTGTCCCCCTCTCCCCGAGGCCCCTCCTTGGGACACACGTTAAAGCTGGCCTGTGGGGCAGGGACCGTGAAGTCGGTCAACGTCAACGAAGTCCAACAAAGCCAACAGCTTGCACCTTGGTGGGTGGAGGGGGCGCAGGAGGCCCGGCTGTGGGAGGGGCTCACTGCTCACCTGGCCCTGTGGGCCTCTGTCCGTGGGCTCATGTCCACAGGCCCCCGTCCGTGGTACGATGCTGGTACTGTGCTCTGTGCCTGTAGAATGTGGCTTTAAAATACTGCCACACCTGGCGTTAGAACATGGCTCCCAGTGGGACCCCCTGGCTGTGGAACCAATAAAGAGTAAAACCTAAAACAGTCCCTTCGTCGCACCCGGGCAGCGGCATGGACGCCAGGAAGAGGCTCCACGCTGGACTCACGGAGAACACGCAGGCGTTAACCTTCATAAGTGACTCAGGTTTCAGAAAAGAACCGACGGCTGCTGAGCAGTGTGGCAGCGAGTCGGACAGCGTGCTCCGTCTTACTGCCTCTTCCCGTTCTCCGTGTCGGTCAGATGGCGCCGTTGTCGATGGCAGGGCCCCTGGTGCCCCCTAGAGCAGGGTGCGTGGAGTGACCCCCGCCAGCTGGTCTGTGAGGACGCTGGAGAGCAAGTCAGTTGTCGGGAACTGGTCACTGAGGCAGGTGGACGTGCGAGGGGAGGCGGGAGAGGCAGGTGTCGAGGACGATGCGGTGGGGGCGGCTCTGTCCTTCGTTGTCACCTGGGGACCAGCGTGTTGGCAAGGGGCTCGCCGCCTGCAAGTGAGGCCAGTTCTCGCCTTCGTGCACCTCGCTCCCCACGGCAGGAAAGCGGATGCTGAGCTCTGTAGGCCTGGAGGGAGGAGGGAGTGAATAAGGCGTGAGCTCCATGTGGTCCCAGCGCAGGTCTCAGCCCCCAGATCCACTTGTCCACCTCCCTCGCCCTGTGAGAGGTCGCCCAGCAAACCGCTGCACTTCTGTGGGGCTTGAAAGGCGCCGTGGGGGACGCTCTCAGAACAGGTGAACTGCGTTTTCATGTTGTGAGAACTCAGAGTCACGCAGGCTTCAGGAGGACGCGCCCGCCACTCACGTGCTCCCAGGACCAGTTCCTCCGTGGCTGGCTGAGCAGCCCGCACTGAGACTCCACAGGAGAGCAGGGCGAGTGTCCCTGGCTCAGAGACCCGGCGGGGGTCACGGTGCCAGTCACGAAGCTGAACAAGCTCTCTCCCCACACGGGCTCTCCTAAGGCCGAGGCTCTCGGAACAGATGTTTTTACTCCCATCACCGTCCACTGTACAGCCACAGTTTCCTTGCTTTGTCTTCCCTCTCTGAAGGGAAACCGTAAGTAAAGGAAACTCCAGTCACACTGTTCATGTAGTGGATGGCCTTATCTGATCGTGCATGTTGGACTCCGGGTGCACACGGAGGCGGGCACAGCGCACATGGACGCTCTGTCTGCGTTGCTGTCAGGACCTGGGAATGGAGACCTCCGTGTGACGGGAAGGGTGCTGTCTGTCACTGACGTCACCTCATTGTCGTCAGCTGCTTCTCGTGGAGAGCGTGTCCTTAGCGTGTCCGATTCTGTGGGGGCGGCCGCAGTTAGGGCGCTGAGTGGGCTCGGCATCTGATTCCAAGTGCGAGCACCATCTGGACTTTTTAATAGTTGAAAGACGCAGTAAGGGACGCATTTGGTAACTTCCCGATGAACCTAATCAAGGCCATTAACCGGTGCTGAGTCAGGGACTGGCCGCCTTGGACGTGCATGGGGTGTGGGTGTGGGGAGCAGCGAGTGCCATCGTCCGGTGCCTACACAGCAGATGCTGAAGGTACTTAGAATTTAGAAATACTTGCTTTTGTGAGTCTGTAGTGATTAGCTTACATTCAGGTCGGAACAGTCTTCCTCACCATTTGCTCTGTTAGGAGAATGTATTACAGTGTATCAACCTGTGAACTAAGGGTTTTGATGGGACATTAAAGCATCTGTAATAAAAAAGTCTCTTAATGGTCCATTTTCATTTAGTTTCTTTCTGTTTGTGTTTCTCTTCCAGAAAGCGCAGGCCTGCCGGCAGCGACTAGATAGGGAACTCGCCGGCTTTCTCCAGATGGTGGAGGAGTGCGACGTGGCTAAAGGTAAAAAACCACCGAAACCAGAGACGGCACTGAAGCCAGCCCCGCCCCCGCCCTCCGACACAGCCATCCTCCTGGGTGCTTGCCCTTTAGGTTAAATCTTGTTATTCTTTTAAGAAAAAGAACAACAGCGGCAAAGTTACCATTTTGGGGCTGGAAATTCACTTTGTGGTTGGAATCCTGCTGGTGACTTGAGAGAACTGGCGTGTGGAGTCACGGTGAGGGTCCTGGCCTGGCCCTTGCTCTGCCCCCCGCGGGCTGCTGCTCAAGGAGCCGTTTCCTCCTGTGAGTGAGGCTGGCGGTGTCCAGGGCTGGGCGTTCCAATTCTGTGATTCTGCATGAGCCTGTCTGCTGATGGCAGCACGCCTCACCTTCCCGTGTCTCCCCTCTCCACAGTTACGAATCATTAGGAGTTGACTAGATCCTTCAGAAATCAAAACACAGTCCGATACAACACGCAGTGTCAGATCCCGTACCAATAGAAAGTGTTGAGAAGTACCACTGACTTCGTGCCTTAAGCAGCTGTTTCTCTGACTGTGCGGTCGGTACGAGCGTGTGATCGCTTCCGTTCTCCGAGGTGACTACTAACGATCCGTGTTAAGCGGGAGCTGGTTTCCCTCAGTGAACTCCCAGGCTCCGTGTCTATGTGCCCAGAGACTGTGAGGAAGTGTCCCCGTTAGAGGAACTGGTGTAGATGCTGTGTCTCCAGATGCGCCTCGGACATCCCCGGTTCCACAGGAGTGGTGTGTGTCAGCAGTGACCGCAGCAGGAGGACAGCTGTGGAGACAGCGGTGAGGTCGTTCTGATGATGAGTTGGGCTGGAATAGTGTGTTAGTGCGGTTCATCCGCAGTGGATTTTAAGGAATAATCACAGCTTTATTCGCTAGAATTCACCTCTGCAGCGGTCTGGAGTGTATGCATAGAGTTATGCTAAGACCATCGACCAGCAGTGGGCTCTTAAAACACTATCTTTTCCAAGAACCATCCAAAGCAAGAAGAGATATAGCAACATTTTAAAAATGTAACCCTGGCTGGTGTGGTTCAGTGGATAGAGCGTCAGCCTGAGGCCTGAAGGGTTCCAGGTTCGATTCTGGTCAAGGGCACATGCTCAGGTTGCAGCTTCGATCCCATCCCCAGTAGGGGGCGTGCAGGAGGCAACCAATCCATGATTCTCTCTTTTCATTATGTTTCTATCTCTCTCCCCCTTTCCCTTCCTCTCTGAAATCAATAAAAAATATATATCTATATCTATCTATCTATCTATATATAGATATATATATATAGATGTAGAACCACAGTGAGATGAAATATAAAGATTAATTTCCTTAACTTGCACCAAAGAAAAAAACTTATATCAGAACTACAATCAAATCAAGTCTTTGGTAAACCTGGAGTCAGCTCCCTTGGCTCGGACCCCCCTGTACGAGCCTCTCACCACGATGGCTGCCTCGTGTGGCCCTGTAGGTGTGACACTGCTCAGACCCCAGAGACAGTGCGTCCTGTGGTGCCTCCGGGAACTGGGAGACGTGTGCCTGTGACCTTACGGCCTGGCTCAGGGCCCTGCCATCGACTTACCCCCGACAGGCACAGACATGATGCCTGCAGGATGGTGCAGTGAGTGAGCGGGGTAAGGACGGTGTTGTCGGAAGCCCCGCCCTCCTCCAGGCGGCCTCGAGATGCAAAACTAAAAGGTCTGTGGACAGAGTCCAGGTTTCAGGGTCGAAATGGCCTAACAGTTTAGTACAAAACGGTTTGAACGTTAAGACTCAGTGCCCTGCTTCCTTGCTCAGACGGCTACCGTTCTAGTCAGCTCTCCACCTCAGCCTGCTGCCTGCCGCCCCCACGCTCCCCCTCCCCCTCCCCCTCCCGCCAGGAGGGAGGCTCAGATGGCTTTCCGGTTCTGTGAAACGCTGCGTGTCGCTTGCCAGGTTAATTTTAGAAAGATGCTTTTTGGATCCTGCTTTTCTGTTGAAAATGTCTCCTATGGGCCCTGGAAGCAAGAGGATAAAACGCAGGCGCTCCCTCGGCGTTCAGGGCTTCTGGGGCCCACAGCTGCCTTGCAGCTCCGTGTGTCACGCGCTCGCCCGGGCCCCGAAGATGCTTTAGACCAAATGCCTCGTCTCTGGTCCGGTGTCCCCTGTTGAAATGCTCCTCTCATCCCCGTGCGTGGACCCTCGCCCTGCCTTCCGGATGCAGCGGAGTCGGTCTCTCTGGTTGGCACGGCCGCTGGAGGTTCCCAGGGCCAGCGTTGCCATCGCCTCCTCCCGTCTCCGCCCACAGCCTGGCTGCGGAAACAGCACCACCCAAACCGCCCGCCCCCCCGCTCTAAGGAATGACAAGTACTGCGTGTGGGCATTTACATGCGACCTCGGCTTCATTGCTGAAGGATTGCTGGGGTTGGATTCGTGGGTGGACGCGTGTTAACGTTGCTGCCTGTGGCTGCATGTTGCTGAACGATACTCCATGTGCCTCCTCATGCGCACACGTCATTGCACGCTACCGACTGCATGTAAGCGCATCCCTGGTTAGCAAACAGGAGACCTCGCGGGAGAGGCACTTCAGTCAGCAAAGTCTGCATCAGGATCGATGCCTCAGGTCGCCCGTCACCACGTTCACCCCTGCCACGCCGTCTCCCACAGGGGTCACTGCAGACTGGCCCAGGTCCACCGCCACCTCCCCGCCCTTCCCAGGATCCTTCCAGAACCCAGTGGGCGATGTCCTCTGCACAGAACATCCACTCGCACACAGGTCTTCGCTTAGCACGGAGGCCACGCCGTTCTGAGGACCCCCAGCCTGCTGGTCCCTTTCCCTCTGACTGCTGGCTCCTCCCTCAGCCAGGGAGACGCTGAGCTTGCCCAGACCAGCGTCCCCATGGTCTGACCTGACGCCTCTCTGTGTTCCCTCCTCCGCACCCTGCCAGGCGCTAAGTAGGCCACAGCACTTCCCTGTAAGTTACAGCCACGCCTCTCTGGCCGCCCTGCCCGGCCTTCTGTTCCTCTGCTGGCTCCCTGGAATATTCCAGGGTGCTGCTGGGGAGATGGTCCCGCGGAAGCTTCTGAACATGAAGAATTACTATTTCCAGGCTCAGGGAAGCGGAAGCATCTGGAACAAAGGTCTGGAGGCCTGTTTCTAGGAAAAGAAACCTTTACAGGAAGACCGCCTGGGAGCCGTCGAGCTGACGAAGAAGTGAGGTTACATGGGCCAAGCGGCCTTTCCTGCGTCAGCACCAGGGGAGCTGCCTGTGCCAGGCTCTGTTTTGTCCACATAACAAGAAGCAGGTGTTTCCTTGGCAGTTCACCCAGATGGGCATCACCGTGAGTGTCCTGGGAGCCACAGGTGCGAGCTTTTATGTCTCCAAAGGGGAGTTTTCACACAGGACCTTCGAGCATCTTTCCTGAGTTCAAAAATAACTTCCGTATAAAAAATAACACTTTCCTCAGAAGTAGGTGTCCACTTTTTTATAGTCGGCCGAATATGGCAGCTAGCTGTTCGTTCACTTAGCGTTTATTCATTGCAGCTTCATCTCTAAATATTAATTGACTGAAACAGTTTGCAGTGATCCCCCCGGGTAACTTGTCTAGAAGCTGAGCAGTTCCAGTTCTATAACCACATGCATCCGTCCTTATGTAAGAAACGTGCTGTGCCGCCCCCCCCCCCCGTCCCAGCACCCCAAATCCACCGGCTCCTGCACCAAACCACCAGGCAGGTGAATAGTAACTTCTGGATCTTTCAACACCAGATTGTCAGAGAAATTAGGTAACTTTCGAGTCTGTTTGGACAGAAGAATTGGATACTCCTTCAATAGAGTCTTACAGAAACAATATGTATTTCTTGGGATGTCTTTTGAAACAAGCTTGCATGTGTCCTTAAACATTGATTTTGACAGTTAGTGTTTGCTTTATGCTGACCAGTGGTGTCTGAAGTGAGGAATGTCTCACGGGCACAATGGGAGATGGTTTAGCGCGTGACGCTACGTAACGCAGGGGCTGTGCCTGTGCTTCCTGGCGCGTGACCCTGGAAGTGGAACGTTACTGGGTTACCCCCAGCGGGGGCAGAGCTGTCTGTTCTCCTGTGCATCTCCCCCCTCAGCCGCAGCCCTGAGTCTGTGGAGGGACTGTTCAGGTCGGACGGAGCCCAGCACATGGCACTGTCACCTGCTGTTTGGAGCCCCGTACAGGAGGGATCTCACGTGTGCAGCAAAGGCTCCAAGTGAAAAGTAAATCCCGGAAAGTCAGGTTTCCCTCAGAACGCAGTCGTCTCACTGGGGCGCAGTGAGGGATCGCCAGCGCGAGGACGCTCCTACGATGGGAAATAGTGCAACATCGTGTGGCCTTCGTGTCCGGATGTTAGTGAGCGCGTGTGTACAACTCACCCCCGCTGACCTCTTCCTGGCGCCCACTTCCGCCTTCCGAGTTGTGAGGCATAATTTTTCCAAGAAAGGGACTTTTCTTTGCTTAAATCATATTTTTATAGAAATTTTAGAAAATAAAAAATCTAGACGAATACTATTCACAATTTTATCACGTAGAAAATATGGTCACGGATAATCTGTCATGTGTTCTTGAAGGTTTTACTTACTTTTATTTCTTATTTGAAACTTGTCTCTTGATCGGAGAGCCCACTGTCGTATGTCCTAATCGATTGAGATTGCTGGCGTTCGGGCTCACGAGGTTGCTTGTGCTCACCGGCCTTGCGTTGTTTTCAGAACAGCGTTCTGAGTGAGGCGACTTGAAATACCAAGGATGCCGCTGGTTTCATTGTCTTCCTTTTTTTTGATGAAAAGCTCCCTCAATGTTATGATTTTTATTTGATGGAAGAGACACATTGGAAAGATCCTAATGCATAGTTAGCATAAAATCCACTCGGCGTTAACTGAACTGTGTCCCTGCATTAATCCAGAGGGGAAATGGCATGTACTTGTCTTGTACGTGATGGGCGGGCATTCTGTCTCGTTTCTGTTTTCTGTGATGGTAAATGGGTTAAGATAATGGGCAAATGGTTCAGTTTCTTCAGGGCACCTGGGGAAATACACTCAGGGGCCTTTCTGTGTCTGAGGGGGACTGGGTCCAGGACCTCCCTGGGTACCAACACCTGCAGATGCTCAAGTCTGTTGCATAAAAGGCATAGCATTTGCATGTAACCTACCTTGACCCTGCACACCTTAAATCATCTCCAGTTACTTATAATACCGAAGGCAAGGAAATGCTATGTGAATGGTTGCTATACTGCATCGTCTGGGGAATAGTGAGAAGAAAGAAGTCTGCACACGTGGGCTTCACACACAGTACATGCCAGCAGCAACATGCCATTTCCGCTCTGAATCGTCTCGATCTGTGCTTGGTGGCTCTCAGGCGTGGAACCTGGGGATATGGTGGCCACTGCATTGCCAGTTCTTTCTTCTGAACACAAACATGTTCTAAGAAATACTGAAACTCTGTAGGGACAAACCTACTAGAAGGCCCTGAAGCTACAGGGGCACAGCTTTGAGAGTGAAAAGACCTGTTTGTGCCAAACATTTGTCCGATAAGAACCAGAGGACCTTGGGTGAATGCCGCCTTCAGGTGCCTCGGCCAGCCTGCCAGCGACGGGGTGACGTCTGTGTGTCCAGCAGTGCGCTGAGTGATGTGCAGGAACGTCATGAAAGGAGCTGTGATGCAGGCATGCGTGCATCAGCCCTCCTGGCGGCGCGTCTCTTAAACACGGTTGTTACCTGCTGGCGCGTGTCCTGCCCGGCTCTCCCCTTGCGGGACGCCAGCCTTCCCCGGCCAGGGCTGCCTCGCTCGCTTTCCGGGCGTCTCTGTGCCCTGCGAACGCAGGTGCTCACTGTGCCCGGGACAGGACTGTCGCTCTGTGTAGGTGGCGGCAAGAAACCCGAAGTTGGTGGCTGTGAGGGTGTTTGGTCAGAGTGACACCGAGGACTCACTGTCCCTCTCACGGGGATGTGTTTATTTCTAGAGATGCTTCCGTCCTTTCTTCAGAAAGTCGGCGTGGTCTCCGAGGCGTCGAGGGAGACCTGCGCGGCACTGAGCGACTGCCTCACGCTCCTCGCGAAGCAGGAAGGGGTAGGTCCCGCGCAGTCGCGTTTCCCAGCAGTCGAGGGCGTGTCGCCTACTGGCCGCCCAGTGGGTCAGTGCTTCCAGAACGTGCACAGGCAGGAGCCACGGTGCCAGCAGAGGACATGGAAGCTGCATTCTCCACCAGATCTTAGCCACTTTTTTGCATGTTTATAATAGTTTGAGCCAAATGGATGGCATATGTCACAGAGCAAGGTCTCATGTGCTCCCCGAACTCATTCATCCTTAATTGGGCAGGGTGCTTCCGAAACAGTTCCTGTTCATACTGTCCAGGTCGTGGATATGGCCATGTTTATTAACAAGCGTGTTTTCAAGTCCTACTTCTGGTGAAATGTTCCAATAAGAGGGTTAGGGAAATATTCTAGAGACCAAGGCCTTTATGTGAAAACTATCTGATACTTTTATTTACCTGTGTGAACTGAACTCAGTGGGTGAAATGCATACTGTTTTCATTCTAATATTTTTTGATGACAGTTATTCTAAATGTTTGACTTTTTTTTTAATTATTGATTTTAGAGAGAGGAAGGAGAGAGACATGAGCTTGTTGTTGCACTCGTTTTTGCGTTCATCGGTTGATTCTTGTATGTGTCTTGACCTGGATTGAACCGTCAACCTTGGCAGATCGGGACAAGGCTCTAACCACCCGAGCCATCCAGCCAGGGCCTCACATTTGTTTCTTAAGCCGAATTGTTAAACTTAACACAGAAGTGCCTGGAGGGGGCAGTCTCATAGGACTCTGTTTTTTGACTAAATGGCCCAGTCCTGCTCATAGTTTTTTTTTGAAGATCCAATATATATTTATTTTAAATGTTATTGGGTGACATTAGTCAACATGAACACACAGGTCTCATGTGTGGATTACTAATTTACAACATCTGTATCTGGGACCATGTGCCCACCACCCAGAGTCAGATCTCCTGTTCCCTCATATTAGGGCCCCTTTCTCCTCCCACCCCCTCCCTCAGGCAACGCCCACACGCTGTTTGTGTTCATAGCTTTCATTTTCATATTCCACATGTGAGTGAAATCATATAGTTCTTTGCTAAGACTTTTTGAATCTCTTTTGTTCCTTAGTGGGGTTTTTTTTTTTTTGGCCAAATTTTTATTATTATTGGGTTCAAAAGATCCCTAACTTCTTTTAAATTTTTAATTATAGTTGACATGTAACATTAGTTCCAGTTTCAGGTGCACAGCATGCTGACTCAGCATTTATCTACCTCACGGTGTTATCGCACGCCATCTGTCACCAAACAGAATCAATGACAATATTATTAGCTCTTTTCTCTGTGGCTCCTTATGGATTTTTTTTTTTTTAATTCTCTCTGATTTTTAGATCGACTGTGTGCCTGCCTCTAGCCATGGAATACTGATCCCTTCTGATTTACTCTTTAAATCTCCTGTTTATTAAAACAAAAACCAGGTAACAAACTTGGTAAAATTACGTCTACAGGCAGAGTCCCCTGGCTGTGTGCGAGCCGGAGGGTTTACCGTGAGCCCCGGCTGAGGGCCTCTGTTTGTGTGGCACGGGGGTGCCGCCTGCTTGTTTGGGAATGCTGCGCCACGACCCAGATCCTGAGGACTTCCTACGGCCTCCACGTGAAGGAGGCACGACTGGGCGTGTTTTACTCGTAAATAACACTGCTTGTGCTGGAAAGGAAGCTGCAATACAGCAGGCTGTCAGGTTTGTGATGGGCGTGCTGAAGGGAACCCCACTGGATGTTTTAGGGCAGCGGTTCTCAACCTTCTGGCCCTTTAATACAGTTCCTCATGCTGTGACCCAACCATAAGATTATGTTCGTTGCTACTTCGTAACTGTCATGTTGCTACTGTGATGAATCGTCATGTAAATATCTGATATGCAGGATGGTCTTAGGCAACCCCTGTGAAAGGGTTGTTCGAGCGCCAAAGGGGTCGCGACCCACAGGTTGAGAACCGCTGTTTTAGGGGGAGCCTTGGGAAACGTACGAGCATGTTCATGTGGTGGTCTTTCTCTAACCTTGTGTTCAAGGGGTAGAAACGGGGATCCTGAATGAGCTTTGTCCTGTGGTTGCCCTCAGCGGAGGGGGTGTCGCAGTGGGTACCTGTCAGACAGACGTCACTGCGGGTGCCCTTCTCTGTGGGTCGAGCTCCCGACACTAGTCAGACCTGCTTTTCCAGGTAGGCACTTGCCTCCTACGGTTGGCGTGGCTCTCGGGTGAGATGTTTACTCCCTCGTCGTCTCCGCCCTGCCGAGGCGTGCGGCCCGGCGTGATGGGAATCTCGGGCTGCGTGTGTCACGGGAAGATTCGGCTGCGGCAGGGCCTGCGGGCAGGGCTGTGCTCGGACTGATGCTTCTTTGGGGACAAATCCTGTCTCGTGTGACTCGTCACGAACGTCCTGGTCGCTGTACCTACTCGCTCGCTGTGCTGGTCACAGCCCTGAGTCATGGTCCCTGATCCCTTCGTTCCCAACGTGAACGCCCTCCAGGCCTCGCTCTGTCTCTCTGACAGCGTCTCCTCCTGCTCGGCTCTGAGCGGAACTCGGTTCAGCGCTAGGCAGCCATTGCCAGGCCTGCCCGCCTGCCCGCCCCTCTCTGTCTGTCTCCTCCTGGAGTCTCTGC